CTCATGTGGGCCCAGTCATATTGCCACTGCCCCATTGCCTAGGCCTGCCTTTTAAATTTTACAAATGCATTTTTTTCTTTTAAACTTGCTATAGGGCATATGTGCTTGGCAGAGAGAGACAAAGAGAAGAGAGAGAGAAAGTGAGAAAGCACACCCAGTAGAGATGGGTACACTGCAATCTCTCCTCCTCCACTCTCTTCTTGTAATTTTGGGAACACACGCACACATGCCTGGTATGTTTTTCAATCCTTTGGGTCCAGGACACATATTGAGCAGTTGGCCATGTGGGATCCACCACACAACTAACTGACTCTCTGTTTAAAATATATAATGTTAACATCAATAAAGTTAATTTTTTGGAGAGTTTTTTTGCTATAGGGCGCGTGCGCTTGCCAGAAAGACAGAGAGAGGCAAAGAGACAGAAAGCAAGAAGACATCTCCGGGGAAATGGCCATGCTGCAATCCCTTTTCCTCCATTCTCTTCTCGGGATCTTGGGCACACACACACATGTGAATGGTATGCGTTTAAGCCACTGGGTCTGGTACTCGAACCGCAGTCGACTACATGGGAGTCCAGTGATATAGCTCTTACGCCATCTGCTGGTCCCAATAAAGTTAATTTTAAAATAAATTAAGAACTGTATGCGAGCATAGAGAATTTAAAAACTCTCCACACTTGGAAATTATGTATTGCTTTAGTGTTCTATGCCTTGGAATAGTTAAGAGACATTTAAGAGAGAATGATGCCTTGTGTTAGATAAAGACACCTCTAAACTCTTTCTATTATTTATTATATTTATTATTATTATTTTTAAAATTTTCTGTAGGGCATGTGCACTCACCAGACAGAGACAGTGAGAGAGAGAGAGAGAGGGAAAATGAGAAAGCAAGTTGCCAAGTCTGGGACTTGAACCATGGTTGGCCATGTGGGAATCTGGCATCTTCACCACCACGCCACCTGCTGGCTCTCTGCTACTTATTTTTATTTGAATATTTTTGGGTAAATGCTTTGAATTCTCTTTTATAAACAAAAGAATATACTTTACTCCAGCATCTCTTTAACCTTCTGCTTTCCAGAAGCTTGGCTATATTCAAGAGGAATCCTTACTCCCATATTTATTTCATATCATCCCTTGCTTTCCTTCCCTGCAACTCAGATCCAAGACAAGGCACCCAGGATGATATTTAGTTTTCACTAATTTCTCCAAACACCAATTTATTTTTCTATGTCATTACTTTTATTTTTAATGTCCAGAGTTTTTTTTTTTTTTTGAGAGGTTTTTTTCACTACAGGGCGCATGCACTCGACAGACAGACAGAGAGAGACATAGAGACAGAAAGCGAGAAATCACCCCCCAGAGGGGGGATGGTCACGCCGCAATCCCTACTCCTCCATTCTCCTCTCGGGATCTTGGGCACGCACGCACACGCACCCGGCGTGAGTTCTAAGCCACCGGTCCCGGGATATGACCCACGGTTGACTACGTGGGAGTCCAGTGACATAGCCATTACGCTAACTGCTGGTTCCCTATGTCCAGAGTTTTTAAGACAAGGCCCAGAGATTTCTTCCAGACACAAAAATTTTATAAATTCTCAATTGGCTGGTGAGGCCAACCAATAGAGGGACTTCTTGTCTAATACAGTTTCTGGGAAGACTTTATTCAAGTCCTCAATGGTCATCTGATCAAATGGAATTATGTTCTTCATCTTCTCCAGCTGTTTCTGATATTCTTCAATCCTGGCCTTTGAGAGGGACACAAACTCAGCACAATTGTTCACGTCTTGCTTTCCTTTAGCGTCCACTTGGACAGTGTATTTATCCTCCAGCACAGGAACCTCCAGGGCATTAAACTCCTTCTTGAGGTTGTCCACCAAGCCTGCTTTGGTCATGATGGCCTTGTAGTACACCCAGTCGATAGCTGGTGGGTAGTGCAGCCAACCTGGAGGTGAGGGGCTCGCCCCATGTTTTCAGGGAGTTAACAATAGCCTTTTGGTTTCAGGGTATTATTTCCCCCAAAGCTACCCAGTCAATAGTTTTTAGGGCTAGTTTTCACCCAGCCATCTTGCAATCCTTCACTGACCCCTTCAAACACCAATTTGATTAAAGCAATAATGCTACTATTGTACTTTTCACTCATTCTTACAGCTATTTTTAAACTTCCAGGTTATGGCAAGCTTATACAAATAAAACTTGAACTGCTTCAACAAAATTACCACTTTTAAATCTCTCAGTGAATATTTAATTGAGGTTTTGTAATAATCATTTCCTAATAAAATTAAATATTTAAATATTGTACTATTAAATATATATATGGACTTTGAGTCACTTTAATAACTCAACTGTTCAGACTAATTTGTGATTTTACCAAATCTTTTAAATTACATTGACTTTTACTCTTTCTAAATCTGGACTAGCTTGTGTTATTCATAAAATAGCCAAGGTTAATTATGTGTTATTCTGTATTATTCTTTTAATTGCCAAAATATTGCTGAAATAGGTCACCACTATCAGAGATATTGGTTAAGAAATTAACATAGAATTCTAACTCTTGAAACTTTGAACTTTATACCAAGGAAGGCTTTTGTGGCTGATTAAATTGGGTTTCACTGACAGTATTCGTTTTTCCCAGAGCTGATTCGAGTGTAGATATAAGTGGGGCAATCATATAGTTAATCCACTGAAGTAGAACACTTTTCCAAGTGTAAGGTGAACAATTAATAACTTGTGTCAAAAGCCAGCAGGTAGTGTGGTGATTCAAATCCTGGACCTGGTAGATTGAAAATCAGGCGGGGTGCATGTGCGTGCATGGCCAAAATCCTGATAGGAGAATGGAGGAGAAGGGATTGTGGTGTGGCCATCTGCCCCTCTCTCTCTGGTGAACACATGTGTCCTATGGCAAAAACCTAAAATGATAATAATAACAATAAAAGAATAATTTGTGACAATAATAATGGTCTGTCCAAACTGAGATGTATTGTTATCCAACTATAGTTACTCAATCTGTAGCACAGATTTGATGTGGACCATGAGTTAGTTATCAGTCATCGCATAAATACCAAACACAATTTCTCATGGGATTGTAATAATAAAAAAAAAATTAGGGCTTCTATTATTATGAATAGGAAATGTATAAATCCACAGGCTGACAGTTTGGGGGAGACCATCAAAAATGAGAGTTCTTGACTCTAGAAGTAAAATTTTTCATTGCTAGGAGGCAGTTGGGCACACTGACTTTGTACACCATGACATGACATGGCATGACCAGAGTCTTTGAGTTCAACTACTGCTTTCCCATCACTGGGAATAAAAAGCAAGACCCAGTGTTGGTAGTCCTTCCCTACCACACTTTTGGAAGATTGTGCCTTACTCTGTATACCCTGACTATCCCAGGTGTGTTTAACCCCACCTACCTTCATTTAGGAGGGGGTTAGGAGAGAGTCATTTAAGCGTTTTATGATTATGTGGGTATTGAGAGCAACCTTCTTTTCTCTAGCGCTCCCAGAATCTGTGCTGTGAAAGAAGCATGCAGAAAAACAAACAAACAAACAAACAAAACAGAAGCATGCAGTATTGCCTATAGTGCTCTCTTGGGGGATCCCGAAGGCCTGTCTTGATCCCTAAGTCTCTCTTGTGGTTTTTGACCTACCAATTATAACTGTACTCTTCAAAGACAATAAAGCACTCTCATTAACGTGGTCTCCTTAAATCTTCATAAAACTGAGTGGGGTTGTGTTTTGTGAAGTTCTTTCCTCCTCCAAAGGGTGGGTTGAACAGAGACTCAGGAAAAAGATGCCAGGCACGGAAGTCATGTTGTTTATTGGCTGAGTTTAGTGGGCTTGCATAGCCCCTAGCAATATTCACAGGTACTTCCTCCCTCTCAGAGCTAATAAAACACGTGGAGAGTGCTCACAGAGTTCCTCCCTCTCAGTGCATGAGCTGAGTCAAGGCTGAGCCAAGCTGAGGCCATCAGTACTCACCTGAACCAAAGCTGAGCTGAGCAGGGCAGCACAGGGCAGGGCAGCACAGGGCAGGGCAGCGCAGGGCAGTGCTAGTTGACCAGATGCTCCTTTAATTGTAAGAGGGCTGCAGACACTAGTGGCTCATTGCCAAGACCAAACTGTCACACACACACATGCTTACATTCAAAGGCGTAAACAGCAATCATAATTACATGACAAGTGTGCAGGCCTAGTACAACCAATACCATATATTGTTTACTCTGGGACTTTAGAACTTGATAAGGTAGTAGGTGAGGGAGCCCACTAACCCATCCTGACTCCACTTGAAACACAGGTTGGCAGAGCAGTTATTCTTTCTTATTTTACAAATGAAGAAAGAGGCCACAGAAAGGTTAGGTGCCGTGCTCAAGAGCACTCAGTATAGTAGTTTTGTTTGTTTGTTTGTTTTTACTTTAATCTCGTGTCTTTTCCATAATATAAAATAGTTGTATGGACATTAGATTTGGTTGTGCTTAAAATACCTTTAAAGGTACCAAGCTTTTCATCACTCAGTATTAATAAATTCACCCTGAGATTTGTAATTAATAACAGGTTTTTTCCCGAGAGCAAGGTATTTGTCTTACTTAAAAACAGAGTAAATCAGATAGCTTGTCAGATAGTTTGTGCGATTGTTGAATCTTGGGAGAACTGAAAACTATTTATGTCTACTTTACATTGTTTTCCTCAAGCTCATCCTTACTGGGACTAACACTTGGGAAGGTACCTTAATATCTTAGTGCGAAGTAATGGTGTAGATTTTAGTATTCTGTTCTCTGGGGAACTCTTTTTTTTTTTGATTTGTTTGTTTTTTTAATTTTGCCATAGGGCACGTGTGCTTAATAGAGACAGAGAGATAAAGAGAGAGAGAAAGGAAGTGAGAAATCACTCCCCTTCTCCCCCGCTGGAGGTAGGGGGGTCACCATGCCACAATCTCTTTTCCTCTATTCTCTTCTCTAGAGTTTGGGAATGCATACACACATGCCTGACATGATTTTCAGCCTCTGAGTCTGGGACTCACACCACTCATCTGGCTATGTGGGATCCAGCCACCCTAACTGCCACACCACCTACCCACCCTAAATAAACTTTTGACCTTTACTTCCATTCTGCAATCTCACAATTGCATAATTAGTTAAATTTATGTCAAATCAGCATTCCAGAGGACAAACTTGAGATACTCAGTAAGAGACTCTAGAATAGGTTTGAAATAAAATGATAAAGGTCAAGGCCAGTTGCAGTGGTGCAGTAGGAACACAGTGCTCCACTGTGCCACCCAGGAAGGTCCCAGGTTCACATCCTGTGGTCTCCCTGGACATGGACATGCAAGGCATGCACACACACGTCCTGTGGTCCTGGCTGACTGAGGACAGCAGATAATGGCAGGAAGAACCTGTAAAGGATGTCTCTCTCTCTTGATGTCTCTGTCTCCTGGAAGAAATAAATAACATTTTCAAAAATGATTAGGTTGAAAAAAAAAGAATAGATAGTGATAATAACTGCGTTCAGTCAATATCTATTTAGTAACTATTATGTTTTAGGCATATATTGTGCAGATTCAAACCAAAAGGAATGAGGATAATTTCATAAACATCACAAAGAATATACTTCAAAGTAAAGAGGTGTGAGTTCTTTTTCTTTCCTTTTTAAAAAAATAATTATTTAACTTTAATTACTTATTTTAATTTGACCAGAGAGAGAGAGAGAAGCCAAGCCACCAGGTCCCAGTCTCACACTGTGGTCGGCCATGTAGGAGTCCAGCTTCCTTAACCACTACACCACCTGCTGGCCCCAAGAAACGTGAGTTCTGACAAAGAAAATACCTTTGTATTGATAAAAGGAAAATCGCATAATTAAGAAATTCCTGGGGCCAACAGGTGGTGTGGGGGCTGAGGTGCTGGATTCCCACATGGCCAACCGTGGTTTGAGTCCCAGACCTGGCAATTTGCTTTCTTTCCCTTTCTCTCTCACTCTCTGGTCAATTTTAAAAAATAATAGTAACAAATGGAATTAAATAAATAATTCTTTTTAAAAATTCCCTAGCAATAAATGATATATTTAAAATGTTAGAATTATAGAGAAAATGAGAAAAATAAGCACTTAACGGGAAGTGCCAGTCTAATGTGAGGGAGAGAAATGCATATATGTTGAACCATTATCCATGAGGATTCTTGGGCTCCAAGTTACAAAATACCAACTCACAGTGGCTTAAGCCCTGGCTCCTCAAGGTGAGTCACAGACCTGTAGCATAGGCATCACCAGGGAGCTTATTAGAGATGCAGAATCTCAGTGCCTATTTCACCCTTACTGAAACAGCATCTACCTTTGAACAAGTTCCCCAGGTAATTCATATGCACATTTTTCATTCATGAACAGTTATAGACTTGTTATGTAGAGAAGATGAACTGAATGTTTTCCTGTTATTACTTTCTCAGGGAAAATCATATGGGTCCACGATGACATAAAATCACAATATTTTTCTGCCCTTACTTAGGATACAAAGACAAGCTTCTTGTTAATTTTTATGGACACAAAAAGTAAACAGATGGCGTAATGGTTATGTCACTAGACTTCCTCATAGTTTACCGCAGTTCAAGTCCTAGATCCGGCAGCTTAAAACTCATGCTGGGCATGTGTGCGTGTGTGTGTGCCCAGGGTTTCAAGAGGAGAATGAAGGAGAAGGAATTGCAGCGGGGCCATCCCCCCCAAGAGGAGTGATTTCTTGCTTTCTGTCTCTCTGTTTCTTCTGCCGGCCCATGTGTGCTATAGCAAAATCTCTCACACACACAAAAAGTAAATGTCTGATTTTTCTAAACAAAGAGAATATTTTAATGAGATGAAAACACCTTACATACTTATTTTTCTTAATGTATATATTCAATACTCATTAGAAAATGTGCCAGTCATCGGCATACTTTGCTTAAGAACAACCATCAATATTCCCATCAGGAAATAAAAACTTACCACACAGTCGTGTCAGGAGGTTGAAGTAAAATTGGTAGTTGGGAGCTGGGTCCTGTTGGCCTTCAGCAGAGAGTGGTGTCTGTATGAAATACGATCTCATTAGGGAATGAGGGTTGAGAACTGTGGTTCTGTGTCTCTTATTAAAGCTTATGAAAAATCCTGACTGGGGTGGGAAAGCTGTCTTTAAACTCTAAAAACTTCACCAGAAAACTGTTAAAACTGGTAATAATGGATTCAGTAAAGTTGCAAGATACAGAAACAATATACAAAAATCAATCAGATTTCGATACATTAAAAAATGAACAATCCTGGGACAAGTAGATGGTGCAGCAGTTACATTGCTGGACAGAACCATGGCGTGGTTTGAGTTCTGGATCCGGGAGCCTCAAAATCACGCTGGCATATGTGCATACGTGCCCAAGATCTCAGGAGGAGAAGGGATTGTGGCGTGGCCATCCCTCCAGGGGGTGACTTTTTACTTTCCCTCTCGCTGTCTCTGTCTCTCTCTGACAAGCCCATGTACCCTAAGGCACAAACCTCTTAGAAAAAAAGATTGTTCTGGCTATTTGTTTGTTTCTTTTCTTTTCTTTTTTAAAGTCATGACATATAAGGAGCTCAAATAACTCAACAACAAGAAAAAATAATAATAACCTGATTTAAAAATAGGCAACAGCCCTAAAACTCTTTCCAAAGATATTTCTAAAAGGAAAAACAAAAAGTTTTTAAAGCAACAGGTCTAGAATTTGGCTAAAGGAAAAGGGAGATGCAAAAATAATTAATTTTAGATTTACAACAGATTTCCGTAGGTATTAATTTATAGACATTCTTAATATTCCTCCTCAGTAATCACATAATTAATGGTTAGTTTTCTCACCATAAATTTTACATATTAAACAGGCTATTGGAGTACACTATTTTTGTGTGTGAAAAAAACTAATTCCAAAGAGTTGCCGAACTAGCTAAATGCTTAAATAAGCAAATACTTTACTGCCTGACGTAGTCTAAGTTGCTGTGGTGAAATAACACAGACTAAGTGTATTAAACAACAGATAGTTATTTCTTACAATCTAAGGCTGAGAAGTACGAGATCAGGTGCTGGCTGACTGGGTGTCTGGCTCGTAGACATAGAAGAGTGAGTGTGGTCTCTGGCGCCTCTTCTTATAAGGACATCTGTCCAGTTAAGGTCCCACTTTTATGACCCCATTGAATCTTAATTAATTCCTTATTCCAAATGCAGTCACATCAGTGGTTAGGGCTTCAACATAGGAAGTGTGTGTGTGCATGTGCGTATGCATGTTTCGGAGGAGCAGTTCAATTCACAGCATTGTCTATAACAAAATTCAAAAATATGTTTATCTGTTAAGCATATTTTTCAATAAAGCAGACAAAGCCATGGCTTAAAAGAGAAAACAACCATGGAAAATAGGACAGTATTATTCATTTGTGAAAGTGACCTGGTAGATGACACAGGAAATTCCAATAAAACCAAACATCCAAAGTGAATGTGCACACCACACGATTTCCAACGAGATTTGTGCCAGTGACAAAGAATGTTCTCTGTCCATGTCAATGAACTGTTGTTGATAAGGGGAACATTTAAACAGATACTTGCCCCAGAAGTGTTTTATCCTCTACAGTGACAGAGTGAAAAGTTTCCTTCGTTAATATGACATTAGTTTTTTGAAGAGCAATCAATGTTTATTAGAAAAATATTATAATATGCCTATAATAAAAAAATTCAACTCCCCAGAGATAACCACAGATAACAACTTGATGTATTTCCATCTAGAATTTTTTGTGCATATAATTTTATAAGAGTTAGGCTGTTTAATACTTTTTTTAATTTTAGATTTTTGCAATAGGATGTGGGTGTTCAATACTTTAAAAATTCTTGTCACAATAGTTATGGAAGTATTTTATGTCAGCAAATGCTCATTTATGACATTTTAAATTGCCGAAGAGTATTTTATAGACATACCATAAAGTTTGAGCAATGTAGAAGAATCTTCATTTCCCACCTTCCAAACCAAAACTGAATGCGATCTGTGCTTAAAACTTTTTATTTGATTGTGTTAGTGTTTATTTCCTTAATTACTGAGGTTTGCTAATTTTATGTATTTATCTGACCATTTGTTTTCCTTCTATGGATTGTTAATAATTTTGTTTTTGACTATTTTTCTTTGAGTGTTTTTTTTTCATACTGATATGTAAGAAATCATCACAGAAAATTTATTAATTAATCATTTCTATTTAATTTTTAAATTATTACATTGTTGACAGTTAAAACTTTTATAGGTTTATTTTTCATTAACATGTGTCTTCTATTTCTAATGGTCTGTCCATGTCAATGAACTGTTGTTGATAAGGGGAACATTTAAACAGATACTTGCCCCAGAAGTGTTTTATCCTCTACAGTGACAGAGTGAAAAGTTTCCTTCGTTAATATGACATTAGTTTTTTGAAGAGCAATCAATGTTTATTAGAAAAATATTATAATATGCCTATAATAAAAAAATTCAACTCCCCAGAGATAACCACAGATAACAACTTGATGTATTTCCATCTAGAATTTTTTGTGCATATAATTTTATAAGAGTTACGCTGTTTAATACTTTTTTTAATTTTAGATTTTTGCAATAGGATGTGGGTGTTCAATACTTTAAAAATTCTTGTCACAATAGTTATGGAAGTATTTTATGTCAGCAAATGCTCATTTATGACATTTTAAATTGCCGAAGAGTATTTTATAGACATACCATAAAGTTTGAGCAATGTAGAAGAATCTTCATTTCCCACCTTCCAAACCAAAACTGAATGCGATCTGTGCTTAAAACTTTTTATTTGATTGTGTTAGTGTTTATTTCCTTAATTACTGAGGTTTGCTAATTTTATGTATTTATCTGACCATTTGTTTTCCTTCTATGGATTGTTAATAATTTTGTTTTTGACTATTTTTCTTTGAGTGTTTTTTTTCATACTGATATGTAAGAAATCATCACAGAAAATTTATTAATTAATCATTTCTATTTAATTTTTAAATTATTACATTGTTGACAGTTAAAACTTTTATAGGTTTATTTTTCATTAACATGTGTCTTCTATTTCTAATGGGAGATTATATGTATATCTCCCATTAGATTATATATATATATATACTTTAAATATATGAAATGAAGTCAGAATAAGATCAAGTATCCTAATATAAATTACCGAATTATCCACCCTTTTAAAATTAATTAAAATGTCAGCTTTATCATATACTACATTCTTAGGCAAATTTGAGTCTATTTATTGACTTCTTAAATTTGTTCTACAGATTGGTCTCTCTCTTACTGTGAAAGGAGGTTTTATTTTTAATTTCATTTTCTATTTGTTTGCCACTGCATACAGAAATATAATTTTATATTGTTTTCATATCAGTGCTCTTTCTAAATTTACTTATTAGTTTTAATAATTTGAAGAGTCTTTTGGAATTTTTAATGTATATGGTATCTTAAAGTGATGAATGCTTTCTTTTTTTTTTTTTTTCTTTTTTTTTTAGGGTACTCGTGCTCTAGAGAGAGAGAAAGAGAAAGCAAGAAAGTGCTCCTGTGGGGATGGTCATGTTGCAATCTCTTCTCCATCTCTCCCTCCTTTCAGGATTTTGGGCACATATGCACACATGTGTGTTTCTGAAGCCACTCGGTCCGGGACTCAAACCATGCATGTGGTTATGTGAGATTCCACCACCTTGATCATTGCACCAGAGGCTGTCCCTGAAAGCTTTATTTCTTTTTCTTTCTTACCTTTTTTTAAGAGAGATTTTTGCTACAGGGTACGTGCGCTCACCAGAGAGACAGAAAGCGAGAAATCACCCCGTACCCCAGCCATGCTACAATCCCTTCTCCATTCTCTTCTCCAAATTTTGGGCATGCATGCACATTCGCCCGGTGTGAGTTTTAAGCCACCAAGTCTGGAACTCAGACTGTGGTTGACTATATGGGAGTCCAGTAGCATAACCATTATGCCATCTGATGGTCCCAGCTTTATCTCTTTTTGCAGAATATTTTTTAATTGTCAGAGGACATGTGTGTGTGTGTGTGTGTGTGTGTGTGTGTGAGGGGTGGAAGAGCGAGAGAGAAGGACTGAGAGAGAGAGAAAGCACACCCCTAATGGGACATGGTCATACTACAATCCTTTTCCCTCCATTTCTTCATCTTGTCAGGCTTTTGGGCATGCACACACACATGCTAGGAATTTATCAAGCTGTTGGGGTCTGGTTTTGAACCATGGGTCAGTCATGTGGAATCAGTATCCCTGTGAGTAGTGCTTAACTGTTGTGCTATGGGTCAGCCCTTTCTTTTCAGTTCTTAATATACTGTTTCTTATTGCATCCTAGCACTGGCTAGGGCTTCCAATAAATGTTAAATAGTAGTTGTGTTTATGTGAGCATTTTTGCTTCATTGTCAGTCTCGCTGATTATTAAGTATTATATTCACTGTAAGTTGAAGATACGTTTTATCAGAACAAGTAAGCTCTTTTTTATTTATTTTTTTAATTGCCAGAGAGTATGTGTGCTTGACAGAGAGAGGCAGAGAGAGAAAGGGAGAAAGAGAAAGCACTTTGGAATGGGGCATGCCCCCATCCCTTTTCCATTTCTCCATATGGTTGAGATTTGGGGGATGTACACACACATGCCTGGTTGTTTTTCAAGCTGCCAGGCCAGGAGTTGAACTGCATAATTAGCCATGTGGTATCAAGCTCTTTAAGCACTAGGCTAGGAGTTAGACCCACAAGGTCTTTTTAGTTTATGTTTTGCTGAACGTTTCTATTAGAATGGAAATTTATTTTATCAAGTGCTTTTTTGCCTCTGTCAAAATCATCATAAAATTTTCTCATTATTTTGTTAAGTTTTTCAAATATTAAATGAATTTGTAAAATAATGAATTTTTCATTCCTGGAATAAACTTAGTTGGTCACGATGCATTATTTTCCTTATTATGCTGAATCATATTGTTTAGACTATTTGCAACTGTTTGAGAGCAAGATTGGTCTGTAATCTTTCTTTTCATGTGTGGTCTTCTTAGGGTTTGGTATTATAGTTATGCTGGCTTCATAACATAAATTAAGAATGTTCTTTCTTTTTTATTCTCTGGAGAAGTTTGTTTAGGTTTGTGTTATTGGGTCACTAGGAAAGTCACGACACATTTTTGCATAGAAAAATATGCCATGACTTTCCTGATGATCTATCTCTTAAGTATTTTAAATAATTTATTGAGAAGGTTATTGAGGCTTGATTTTATTTAAAAAAATACTTTTTTAAAGACAAGACTATTTGGATTTTTTTATTTTGCTCTCTACTATTTGATAAGTTTTATTTTTTTATTTGTTCATTTCATTTAAATTATTACATGTATTGATACCAAGTTGTTAATAATACCTTCTTATTGTTTTTTTCTTTTTTTAATGTCTATAGCATCTTAGGTGATGTTTGTTTATTGTCAGATTGGTAACTTGTGTTTTCTCTTTCTTCTTTGTTTGATCAGTCTGTTCAGTGGTTGTTTATTAGCTTTATTTATTTCCTCCACTATGTTTTTGTTGGTATCTGCCCTTAACTTTATTATGGTCATATCAACATTTTAGTCAATGTCAACTGCATATATAATGGTGCTTCTATCAGAGTATAATGGAGGGCCAGCAGGTAGTGTGGTGGTGAAGGCCCTGGACTCCCACATGGCTGACCATGGTTCAAGTCCCAGACATGGTCTTTGCTTTCTCACTTTAACCTCTTTCTCTGTTCTCTCTGATGAGCATGCATGCCCTATAGCATAACTTAAAAATAATAATAATGATAATATAAAGTGAAATTAATAATTTTTAAAAAAGATTATAATGGAGTAGAAAATTCCTGTTGCCTAGTTATGTTGTAGCTATCCTACCACTGTAATCTGGGTGTTGTTACCAGGTTTGGGATGATGCTGGTGTAAACTCTGCCAGTTATATACAAACACAGCACATATAATTATGTACAATACATAGTATGTGCTAATGTTCTTGAGGGAAACAGAGAGAAACAAGGACCTCCAACAAGGTCTTGCAATGTCACAATCCTCCTCCAGCTAGCCAGGATCTTGGGCACAGCCGTGGGGTGTGTCTGGTATGTTAAGTTCTACCCCAGAGGCAAACCCTGGGTCTTCCCATATGGCTCTAGTATCAAGCAAGGGCATCTTAATACTTGTACAACCACACTGAGTGTGTCTCTGGATTACATATTTTTTTCCTGTTTCATTTAAATTTGTATTGTTTTGTTCCTCATGGCCCTTGAAGTGATGGAAGAAAGTGATATTGATAATCTGATCCTGTGTAGGCTAAGGCTAATGTGTGTGTGTCTTAGTTTTTTAATTTTTATCATTATTATTATTATTTTTAAAGAATTTTCTACAGGGCATGCACACTCACCAGAGAGAGACAGTGAGAGAGAGAGAAGGAAAATGAGAAAGTAAGTCACCAGGTCCAGGACTTGAACCATGGTCAGTCATGTGGGAGTCCAGTGCCTCAACCACCATGCCATCTACTGGCCTCTGTGACTTAGTTTTTAACAAGAAATCTTATGTTTAAATAAAAGAAGCTCATGTTTCAAAAAATAAAATAAGTTTAAATAAAAGAAACAAGTAAAAAACAGCTTATAGAATAAGGATATAAGAAAGTATTTGTGTATAGCTGTACAATATATTTAAGTCTTAAGCTTTTTTTTTTTTTATGGTTTTTGTCATAGGGTGCATGCACTGTCTGAAGAGACAGAGAAAGACAGTGAGAGGGAAAGTGAGAACTGACCCCCCAGAGGGGATGGCCATGCAGCAATCCATTCTCCTCCTGGGATTTTGGGCTCACATGCACATATGCCCTGCATGATTTTCAAGCCACCAGGTCCAGGACTCAAATCGCAGTGGACCACATGGGAGTCCAGTGACATAACCAGTACAGCGCCTGCTGGCTCCTTAAGCTGTGTTTTGAGAAGGACCAAGAAGTTGCACAATTAGAACATGTCTAAAGTGAAAAGATTATAACAAGCTAAAGTTAATTTATTATGAGAGAAAGTAAAAAAACATTTTTATACATTTGGTGTAGCCTAAGCGTACATGTTCATTAAGTCCATGGTAATGTATGGTACTGTCCAGGGCCTTAATGTCCGCTCAGAACTCACTTCCCAACTCACCTAGAGCAACTCCCACTCTGTAAGCTCCATTCATAAGTGTCCTTTACATGCATACCATTTAAAAATATTTTATACTGTTTCTTTACAGTTTCTTTTTTTGTGTTTAGATATGTTTAGATATATAAATATTGGGTTGTAAGAAAAGTCATGACGTATTTTCTCCATGCAAAAATGTGTCATGACTTTTCTAACGATTCAGTATTTGCCATCATGTTACAATCACCTGCAGCGTTCAATACAGAAACATGCGATGTAGGTTTGTAGCCTAGGCACACTGGGTTATACCATACAGACTAGGTGTACAGCAGGGTATACATACACAGGAGCGGGATTACTGAATCCCATGGTAGTTCTATTTGTAAAAATTTGGGGGAACTGCCATACTATTTTCCATAGCATCCTCTTACAATCCCATCAATAATGTATGAAGATTCCAAGTCGTCCACATACCCACCAATAATCATTATTTTCTGCTTTTTGTTTTGATTTGTTTGGGTTTGTTTTTTTTTTGTTTTGTTTATGTATAGTAGTGGTTCTAATGGGTGTAAGGTGATATTTCATTGTGATTTTGACTTGCATTTATTTGATGATTAATGATTTTCAGCATCTTTTCATATGCTTGTTGGCTCTTTGTATAACATCTTTGGATAAATATTTATTCAAGTATTTTGCCCATTTCTTTAATTATTTTTCATGTTGAGTTGTTGACATTCTTTACATACTCTGCATGTTAACTCCTCATCCGATATATTACTTGCAAATATTTTCTTCCATTCTATAGACTGCATTTTCTCTCTATTGATTGTGTCTTTTTTTTTCAAGTCACCATAAGGCATGTGTGCTTGACAGAGAGAGACAGAGAAGAAAAAGCACCTTCTAATGAATGAAGGGGAAATAAAGACTATTTTTAGCAAATGAAAGTTGAAAGAATTCATCATCGTTAGACTCACAATACAAAAAAATGTAAAGAAAGTCCTTCAGGCAAAAAGACAATCTATAGTGACAGACACAGTCAATGGTTGTGTTGGGATGGGGGAAGACAGGGACCAGCAGAAATAGGAGTCATGGAAGGGCTCAAGAATCTTTATGGTGTAACGGATATGTTCATTATCTTGAAAATAAGTATATATAAAAAATAGTATCAAATTATATACTTTATATCTCTGCAGTTTATTATGTCAGTTAAAATTCAAAAGATTTTTTTAAAGGCCTACCTATACCTTAGAAGGTTGATCAGGGTAATTGTTCTTTATTGTTCTTTATTACTCCTAACAGTCATCAGATTGCCTTCATATTCTTGTGTTCAGTTCATGGTCCCATAATAGAACATACTGGAAAAAATAAAAGGAAAAAGAAAAACTTTAGGTTTCAGTAGAAATGTCTGTAATTAAAGGCACAGAATCATAATATCTTTTCTTGTTTGTTTTTTAAAAGATGTTTTCCATAGGGCATGTGAGCTCACTGAAAAGAGGGAGGGAGGGAAGGAGGGAGGGAGAGAGAGAGAGAGATTGAGATCATCTTCCAGAGAGAGAGAGAGAGAGAGAGTGAGACATCATTCCCCCAGAGGAGATGGCCACTCCACAACCCCTTCTCTGTTTTTCTCCCTGGATTTTGGGTACACATGCACATGCACCTGGCATGATTTTCAGGCTGGGACTTGAACTATGGTCAGCGCCTTAACCATCACACTACCTGTTGGCCCAATAGAAGCTACTCTTTAAGGAATAGCACTAAAGGGAGGAGGAGAGTGAAGAAGTGAAAACCTTAAGGCAGAATGACTGGATGTCCTAATTTTTTCTGGGAACCTGATGTTTGTGCCTTTTGTCTCACCACCATGATCAGTAATGCTGCCATTTATTCTTAAAATTGTTGGATGATAAATTATATAGACATCTACCAAGGCTGGCTTAGACTCAGGAGATGGATGCCTCCAGAGATGGAGAAAGGAGGCAGAAGGAGAATGTGGGAAACACAGAGTCACGGTCTTCTGCATCTCAGAGCTGCTTACACTCTTTGCTTCCCCATCACTCCATCTATCAAGAGGGCACAGGACACTGATGGGAATGGTACTAACCTCTTCAATGTTTCATGACACATGGAGAAAGCCAGATGACAGTGAAGGAAAAAGAGCAAACTTACACAAAGAAGCAGATTCTCTTCCTGGGTTGAATTGTTGTTGAGGTACCCTTTTCTCCCGTTCATTATTTGGTTGTTCATCCTTCCTTGCATTCTGTAGGTTAATATATTCTCAATTTGTTATGGAATCCAGAGCACTGTATTATTCCTTTTTAAAAACTGGAACCAGCATATGGCATAATGATTATGTCATTGGACTCCCACATGGCTGAATGTGGTTTGAGCCCTGGACCCAGAGGCTTCAAACTCACCCTGGGCACATGTGCATATTTGCCCAAGATCCCAAGAGGAGAATGGAGGAGAAGGGATTGCATGTAGCCATCCCCCTTGGGTGGTGATTTCTTGTTTTCATCTCTTTCATCAGCAAGTACATGAGCCCTATAGCAAAAAGCTCACTAAAAAAAATTACAAAAAAATAAATCTTTGGGGCCAGCAGGCAGTGGTTCAGGTGCTGGACTCACACATGGTCGACTGTGGTTTGAGTCCCAGACCTAATGGCTTGCTTTCTCACTTTATCTCTTTCTCTCTTGGTGAGCATATGTGCCCTATAGCAAATTTAAAATGTAATAGTAATAATAATAATAAATGAAATTAAACAAACACTCAAAAAATTAAATCCTCTAAATTTTGAAATTATTCTTCCCTAACTCAGATTTCCCAGTGGAATTACCTCTGCAACTCTCTGGCCACGAGGGTGAGCACAAGAATCAGACTGGCCAGGCTGGGCATCACATCCATCTGTCCAGCGATATTGGCACTGGAATGGGCTTGTGACCTCAGTCATGTGGTCTTAGCTGTTCCTTGGGACATTTAAAATGTTTGTTTTTTCTGTGAAGAGAGTGAGCAAAACAGAGATAAGTCTTAGACAGAGTCTTTATGTAGCAATCATTTCCCTGCCTTCCAGCCAGCCAGGATCACAGGTGAGCGTGGGAGTGCCCATGGGCAGCTAGGATGGGAATCCTGGCTCGTACATGGCTCAGCATGGTGCAGCAGGGCCCGCAGCAGGAACTTTTAGGAAAAGAGTCTCAGGAGAGTTCTCTTTGTTCTGGGACTGCTATGCTGGGCTGACTTGAGTGTGAGCTGTCTGGATCCTGCCAGTGCCCAGAAAGCCGCCTGTGGTAGGAGAAGGTAGGCCCACACTAGTATCTGGTGAATAGACATGGAGGGTGGGTTTCTCTCACTTGCAGTGGACAGACCTCACCATCTCTGTAGACATCATCAGAATGCTACAAGCTAGTCACTATTATCCTTCTTTTACACACAGGAAACCTCAGTGGAGCAAGACTAAGTTATCGTTTCACAGGTTAAACAGTGAAAAAACAGGAATTTAAACTCCACGCCCACAGTTTTCCCATTCTCCTATCTTGTTCCTCACAAAAACTCATTCTAGATAAGTAAGTATGTCATGTGTGTTGGACATTGTTATAGGAGAAATCCTCGTCCTTGTGTGGCCTGCACTCTAGAGAGAGCTTATAGGGATGAGGCAGAGAACGCCAATTTGGAGTTAGATGGTGGTGAGCACTCAGAAAAAAAAAGGAGTCAGGACGGGGCATGCAGCTTCCTGGAGAGGACGTGTAAACAGTTGCCAGAGGGTGGTCAGGGAAGGGCTCTGAGATATTTCATCTTCACACAGACTTCACAGAGTAGAAGGAAGAAGACATGAAGCTGCCTGGGGATAGGTAATTTCTACACAGTACAGTAGAGTGGAAGTCTCTCTGGCAGGCTTGGGCGTTAGTGTGGGAACCTGTGGGTGCAGGACCCAGTGAGCAAGAGGGGAGTGGAAGTGAAGAGCTCAGAGAAACACAGAGAGAGGTCATGTGAGTGTCGAGGCCATTTGGAGAAGATTCTAGCTTTTACTCTAATTGAGATGTAAAGTCACACGAAGATGGGCCCAGCCCTGTTGCCTAATGGTTAAGGGAGAAGGATCCCACGTGACTGACCATGCGGTTAAAATCCTGGGAACCAGCAGTTAGCGTAATGGCTATGTCGCTGGACTCCCACGTAGTCGACCACGGTTCGAGTCCCGGACCCGGTGGCTTAAAACTCACGCCGGGCGCGTGTGCGTGCGTGCCCAAGATCCCGAGAGGAGAATGGAGGAGAAGGGATTGCGGTGTGACCATACCCCCTGGGGGGTGATTTCTCGCTTTCTGTCTCTATGTCTCTCTCTGTCTGTCTGGCGAGCGCACGCGCCCTACAGTGAAAATCTCTCAAAAAAAAAAAAAAAAATCCTTGCCCCAGGGGCTCAGCAGGTGGCATAGCAGTTGTGGCTCTGGATTCCCATATGGTCAACTGCGGACCTAGCAGCTTGAAACTCAGGCCAGGCGCAGGTGCTTGAGTGCCCAAAATCCTGAGAGGAGAATGGAGAAGGGATTGTGGCATGGCCATCTCCCTGTGGGGTGGGTGTGATTTCTCACTTTCTGTCTCTGTCTCTCTCTGGCTACAGTGAGTGCATGCTTAGGAAAAAAAAATCTCTCTCTTAAGAAAAAGTAAATAAATAAAAGTAAATAAATTAAAAAACCTGACCCAGCAACTTGAAAAACACTCTGGGCATGTGTGTGTGCCCCAAATCCTGACAGGGTGAAGATATGGAGGAGAGGGGATTGTGATGTGACCACACCCCATTGGAGGTTCTTTCTCCCTCTTCTCTGTCTCTCTGCGGCGAGCACCCTCTGAAAAACAGAAAGAAAGAAAGAAAGGCAAGGGACATTTTTAAGGAGAGGCATGACCTGATATAATAGGTATTTTAACAGGTTGTTCTATTTTTCTGTTGGGAATATACCATGTGTGTTGGGGGTTGGGGGCAGGAAGTGGAGAATCCAAGAGTGATTCAAAAGATGAGTTAGGAAACTTGAAGCACCTGGAAGAGTTGGGGATGTGAGTATATTCAGTCTGCTCTAATGGAATACCACAGACTGGGTAACTTAAACAACGGGAACTTATTTCTCATAGCCCTGGAGGCTGGGATGTCCAAGATTAAGCAGGTTGGGTGTTGGGAGGCTTTTCTTCTTGATTTGCAGATGGCTACTATCTTGCTGGTCCCTCTGTGATGAAATGGGTGGGAGTCTCTCTTGGGTCTCTTTATAAGAGAGTGCTAATCTGATTCATGAGGGCTCTATCATCACAACCGATTTATCCCCCTGAAGGTGCTACCTCGGAATACCATTAACCTTGGGGATTAGGTTGCAGCATATGAATTTTAGAGAACACACACATTTAGACCATACCAAGTACCTCATAGGAAGGACTCTGAAAAATATACTCCCTGAAAAGGGTCTCTTTAGGGTCTCAATACTCTATGGGTTATACCCAAATATATAAACAAATGAGACAATCATATGACAGAAGTTGACCTGCCCTCACTCTCTATGCTGCAGCTGAACACAGTGGGTGGTGGGCAGTGGGGATAAGTTGGCACGGTCACGTGTTCCCCAGGCCCTGAGCACTGCAGTAGTAAGACTTGCTCTCACTGAAGCTCACCAAGGACTGAGAGCGCCAGGTTCTCTTACCTTCTCATCAGCTTCCAGGGCTCCATTCACCAGCCCTCACCCCATGAGGAAGAAATCCTGAGACCACCAGGACAGTCTGCATCTGTCTTCCCAGTACCACTGAGGAGCACCCAAGCACACCATCTGAAAGCTCGAATGCCAGCAGAAAGGGTCCCTTGCCATGACAGAGGGTGGCCATATTATCCGGCCGTGAGAAACTCCTCCTTCCTTAGTCAAGTCCATGTTTTCTGTCAGAAGAAGATAAAGTTTTCTGCTATATGAGGAGAGGTACCAAAAAAAAAAAAAAAAAAAAAAAAAAAGAGAGAGAGAAAAGAAAGATAAGTCCATTTTGGATTTCTGATTTTAAAAAAGTTTCATAATTTATTTCTCCCATAGCAAAATGGAGAGAGAGAGAGAGAGAGAGAGGCAGCACCCCAACAAAGTCCAGACACCATAACCCACCCCCAGCTTCACCTGGCCTTAGATCATGGGCTTTCTCATGCCTGCCGTGTTCAGGGAAGTCTCTGGATGTGAACCTGGAAACTTCCCATGGGGACAACCTTCAGAGTGTTGCATTACCACTGCACCAGCATCTGTCCCCTCAGTTTGGATTTCTGTCACAGCCTCTTTTTTCACATGGGAAGTTGCTGAAGCCAGAAGGACCTGAGGTGACTCTATCCACACAGCATGCATCACTTCTCTCTCTAAGCAAGGCAGAGGGACCCCTTAGCCCTACTGTGGCCAGTGCCAAGTCAATTGAGCAATCACAGTCATTTCTCAAACACTCCATTACTCCTGAACCTTAACCTGACTTCTGCTCTATCAGTATAAAGGTGTAAGGAAGCTGATCTAAGATTTTCTTCAATTCGCACAAATTCCCCCAGCTGCCCCAGAGAGAACTCAGCCCCCAGGAAAGGCCCCTTTTCAAAGGCTCTCTGACTCCAGAGTTTGACTCTCACCTTGGGAATATTTACTGAACATTGGACAAGGTCGTCCTAGTGACTTCTGCCATGTTTCTGAACTTTTGGTACCCGAAAGCTGAGTTAATCATACCCAGGATTAACTGTAATTTAAAAGTTAATGGTTAATTATGAAAATACTTACGTTCTTGATTCTCCCTAAAACTAGATTTTGGATGCGAAGTTCAAGAGAGATACCAGCCAATACGAGATCTGAAACAGACCACAAACGTAACGTGTTACCTAACACTGAGCCTGTAGTAGTCGTAAAATTGACAACTGAATGTGGCCTTCTATTTCCCCAAGATGTGAAGTCTTATAAAATAGTTATCTGAAAACGGATACTCAAAGTAGTGCTATAAAACATACATAACGTTCCAACTTTGGTTCTCAAGGAACGAAATTTTTCATTCTCATTTTTCAAAGAAGGAAACTGTGTTAAGTGAGGAGACAGAATCCCACTACACCGTAAGTCGCGGTTGTGCTCTGAGAAAGTGAGGCTGGACGCCCTGCTGGCAGTTCCCGTGTGTTTCATCAATTAGGGGGTTACCATGATAGCGAAAAACAGACTTTCTTTTTTTGATTTGCCTCAACTCCTTAAGATATAAATCACCTTTTAAGCAGTGAATTATTCTATTGCCTTGAAAAAACAAATTCCTATGATAAAAGGGGAAGGTGGTGGTCACAAAAGCCAGCTGTAAGTTAAGCATCGACTTTGGTTCTCCTATAGAACTCCAGCTTTCAAATCTTCAGACTTACTCCACTAGTTCTCAGTCTCGAGGGTCCCCCAGCTTTGAGAAGGCGCATTTGGGACAAACAGTTTTGATATTGAGCAAGTATGTGTTTTTATTTTTCTTGTTGCTAAAACTGCAAGGATGATGAAAAGGTCAAATTGTTTTTCTGTTGGCTGGGCCATATAAACTCCGTCTGGTAACCCGAGATGTGCTGTGTTGATCAGAAGCTAGGTGGTAGTATGCGGGTTTGATTAATATACAGTGGGTAAACAGCAGTCGTTGAAGAATTTTTTCTGGTAGACCAAGTATCTCCAAACCTCCAGTCTGCGGGAGGGCTCTCCTGATGGGAAGGGAAGGGTGGTGAATGGCCAGTAGCCCAAAGGAGATGTGCAGCAGGGCTTGGGATTAGCCTGTGGCTGGTGTGTCCTCTCACGGCAGCTCTCAACTGCTCTGGCCACCGTGCCTGTCAAGCAGCACCTCGCTCTGGCGCCTGCTCTTGCAGGATTCTACTAATGCTCTTCCTGCCCTTGGCCTTCAGGCTGAGGGACGGTAACAGTTTCCCACTTGTGTGAGACCTAGGTATTTCATCAGTCCTTATTGGAGTGATTATTCCTGCCTCTATCTGTGGAACAAATTAACAGCCCTTTATTAAACTCTCTTTATTCAACTGGGCTGGACTGAGGTGTATATCATACTGGGTGAAGTCTTTTCACAATCTAAATGATATAATGATAAGGTGATTTATGTATAAATAATAATAATAATAAAACCCTCTCTTTAATCAAGCTCTAATCCGGTTATGCTGACTTCCCCGCTAGACCTCTGACCACACAGGTCCTGCCCTTGAATTGTTCACCACACAGGTGAACAAGCAGCGACTGCTCAGCATGAGCACTGCCGTGATGCAATCCAGGCTGCTGGTTTACCTAGTGAGGTGTGCACCAGCATAGGGAATAGTGAGGATTCAAAGATTATAGCAATCACCGAAGCAAAAATTTTGCCATCACTGAACTAAACCATTCTTTCAAGCTACATTTATCTATTTACAACCTACAGGGGGAAAGGAATTATGTGGGGAACCTGGAACAGTTAAAATGGGAAAGTGGGATTATTCAGTTGGACTAAATACTAATAAATACAAATAAAATAGAAGAAGAAATACTTGGAGTCATGGCAATCTCCCTAATAACTCCCTCAGTTTATGAAATCATATATAGGCTAGAAAATGATTTTTGGACTGATTAGACCATTTTCTCTACATTTTCTCATTTCGAAGCAATTCCCAGATCTTACATGACAGAAGAGGAGGATGGGCTTTATGTTGCTTCACTGACCCAGCATTTCAAGGTCCGGTGTCCCAGTCGAGAACAAAATGTTCAGCTGTAGTTTGATTGTTCCCAATCCTGCTGGAAAAGAGAAGCAAACAAACAGTTGGGAAAGAG